GTGCTCCCTACCCTTAACCCTTTTACTGCCAGGGCCGCGTTTTTGTGTTTCTTGCACACATATTAAAATACACATTTTGAAAATTACTTAAAGGGGAACTATGAGGGGGGTGATTTTCACCTCCTCCTCATAGTTCGGGGCGACGTGTGACAATGAGACTGTCACAGGTCGGCTTAATAGATCGGGAAGTGAGCGAACACATACCGTCGCTCGCTCACTTCTCGATCCTGTCCCTGCAGAGAGCTGTGACTGTCACTCACGGCTCCCCGCAGGGATTCCCCCCTCCCCTGCTCTGATCCTCCAGTCGCTAGTTTGTATCCTCCCGTGACCCTGAGGAGAACTATGGGGAAAAGAAAGCACTGACCCCCCATAGTTCTCCTTTAACCCTTTCGCTGCCAGGGCCGTTTTTGTGTTTCCTGCACACATATCAAAATCCACATTTTAGGCCTGAAAGTGACTTAACAGCCCCCCCGATAGTTAAATATTCCATGAAAGCAGAGACCCTGTAGAATCAAATGGCGGTGGTTTTTTTTTTTAATGTCGCATGATATTAGCGCAACTCTTTATCAAACCTAAAATTTCAGTAAATTATATATACGCTTACGTTAATTTCGGGGGGTTATCCACAAAGCTAGCGGAAGGATCAGCCGTAGCTTCGGTGGCGGGAGCGAAGGGCTGCTGTACGGGCTCTTCACTATAGCCCGTACAGCTCCTCGAAGGGGGCCCGATCGGCTCAGCCCAGCCGTAGCCATATGCTTCAGCACGACTGAGCCCAAGCGGGGCCGAACGCCTTGCAAATTACGCTGCTTTGAAAGAATAGTCAACAGATAGCCAACAGTTTAACACTCATTCGTTCAGAGTGGGGGCTGCTACAGAAGTAGTTAGAAAGGTTTTGGGTCCCAAGGTAATAAGATAGATTTGGAAAATGGGAGTCAGAATGCTTTAGCATTTACATTAACCCACACTTTGTAATTGGCAATACCTTACATCATGTTGAGGGGCTAGGTTATTTGCCTGAAGCCACCTGTTGAAATGTTTTGTACTTAAGTTTCAGAGCTTCCCCAAGGGCTCGTGTGGATTTTGGACAATGCCCTATATATTTTGGGGTTTGAAGCAAGGCATCACTCAAGTTTTTCTTTTGGATATGTGGTTTGTGAAAACTTGGAATCATTACAAAATTGGGTTCACCTGGTATGGCTCTCCATTTTGGCAGGTTGTTTTTATTGTTGTTTTTACCAGGGGCTCCATCCCTTGGTAGAAGTCAGTATATATACCCAATCTGGAAATGCTCTCGAGCAAGTGGGAGTCCGGCTGGGGACAAGCTTGGTGCTTAGTTAATGGAGAACTATGAGGTGAGTGCTTTTCACTCACCTCATAGTTCTAGCCGACCTGTGGCAATGAGACTGTCACAGGTCTGCTCAGTAGATCGGGAAGTGAACGAACACATACCGGCGTTCACTCACCTCTCAATCCTGTCACAGCTCTCTGCCGTGACAGGGGAGGGGCTGGATTCCCCCCTCCCCGCTCCGATCCGCCAGCGCTGACTGGCGGATCGGACGGGGGCGGGTACAGCTGGCTCTGCCTCTAGATAGGCAGAGCCAGCTGTCACTTACGCAGCTGGGCGGATCCAGACAGTAATGTCGGAATCCGCTCCGGCTGCGGCGTCTCGGTATACTGCGAGCTGTAGCTCCCTATATACTGAGCCTAGGGTGACGGGAGGACGCTAGTTTGTGTCCTCCCGTTACCCTGAGGAGAACTATGGGGAAAACACTGACCCCATAGTTCTCCTTTAACAATATTCTAATTATGTTATAGCATTTTGTGTGTGCTTGTGTTGATTCCTATCTCCCTGTGTACTGTCCCATGCATCAATGGATTCATCGTCATCATCATCAACCTCATCTTCATCTCTGATGTTAACCATCGACATCCTTTTCCGCCATGTGCGTGTCCTGTTTCAGAATGGATGGCATGTTGGGGAGGTAGGTCGTCAGCTCTTCCTTGTTCTTTTAAAATTAAATTACCAATAACATTGCAATACTTCAAGCTAAAGCCACCCATGGAGGATGGCCACGCACGCACAATCCAGACACCGAATGTCCTAAAATAGGAAATAGCCAGCACTCCAGTGGTAATTTAAGCTCATCTCACTCTCCGATCAGCTCCCTGCAGAGAGCGGTGACTGTCAATCACCACTCCCCGCAGGTATTCCCCCCTCCCCTCTCCGATGCTCCAGCACTGAGTGGAGAAATGGACGGGGGAGGGGGCGGGCACAGTTGGCTCTGCCTCTAGATAGGCAGAGCCAGCTGTCACTCACGCAGCTGGGTGGATCTCGACAGTATTGTCGTGATCCGTCCCGGCTACTGCGATCTTGGTATATAGTGAGCAATAGCTCGCTATATACTGAGCTTTGGGTCATGGGAGGACATTAGAATATGTCCTCCCGTGACCGTTAAGAGAACTATGGGATAAAAAGGTTACCCCATAGTTCTCTTTTAAGCTGTGGCTAATTGACTTCCCTTCTTGGGAATCCTAAGGTTCCTCCAGAGGATGCTTGGGGGTTCCTTAAGTTGTGGCTAATTGACTTCCCATCTGAGGAACCCTAGGGATCTTCCAGAGGTTGCTTGGGGGTTCCTTAAGCTGTGGCTAACTGACTTCCCATCTGAGGAACCCTAGGGATCTTCCAGAGGTTGCTTGGGGGTTCCTTAAGCTGTGGCTAATTGACTTCCCATCTGAGGAACCCTAGGGATCTTCCAGAGGTTGCATGGGGGTTCCTTAAGCTGTGGCTAACTGACTTCCCATCTGAGGAACCCTAGGGATCTTCTAGAGGTTGCATGGGGGTTCCTTAAGTTGTGGCTAATTGACTTCCCATCTGAGGAACCCTAGGGATCTTCCAGAGGTTGCTTGGGGGTTCCTTAAGCTGTGGCTAACTGACTTCCCACTGAGGAACCCTAGGGTTCTTCTAGAGGTTGCATGGGGGTTCCTTAAGCTGTGGCTAACTGACTTCCCATCTGAGGAACCCTAGGGATCTTCCAGAGGTTGCATGGGGGTTCCTTAAGCTGTGGCTAACTGACTCCCATCTGAGGAACCCTAGGGTTCTTCTAGAGGTTGCATGGGGGTTCCTTAAGCTGTGGCTAACTGACTTCCCATCTGAGGAACCCTAGGGATCTTCTAGAGGTTGCATGGGGGTTCCTTAAGCTGTGGCTAATTGACTTCCCATCTGATGGTGCCTTCATAATTCCAGGACCAACACCACTTGGCAGAGCCAGCTGCATGACCCCGATATTCTTTTTACCTGCCTTTACAACTGGCATTCTGACTACCACTGTAGGGGGGTAGGGGGGGCATTACACTGCACTGCATAGACCAAGTTACTTTCCTTGTGATTGGGTGTTGGGACTTTTGGACCAAACCGCCTTTCAAGGAAGGTAGGTAGGTATTTACATGTTAATTGCTCATACACACAACACTGACAGTATACATTTCCCCAATAAATATATTTCTATTCATATCTGTATGTTTTCATTCTCATACATTGTATCTCATTATTAATCTTACAACGTGTTCTCTAGAGCTCAGAAGACAGTTCCCGGATCTCCATCACCTTCTTCCGACTCTTCCGTGTCATGCGCTTGGTGAAACTCTTGAGTAAAGGGGAAGGTATCCGAACGCTGCTGTGGACCTTCATTAAGTCCTTCCAGGTAAGTTGGTAAGAAGGGGGAAACGTGCCGGTCTAAAACCCGATGCTGGTGAGTTGAATCATTCGTCCGCTTCTTATATCAGAGCCTGCGGCATCGACATCTCAGCAGCTGACTTTTCAACATTATGTGGATTCTCATTTCCCCCCCCCACCAGTGGGATGATGATTCTTCCAGAAGAGGCAACATGCCGTGGGGGGTGGGACATGGGGGTGGTTTGGTGTGTGCTTAGTATTAGATGGGTGAGTGTTAGGGTCTTTCTATGGGTTTCCACATCACTACCTGGGTGTGGTGGACACTTCCTATTGGTTATCTATTTTACATTTCTCCTGATCTCCTTCATGAAGAATTGTACAAGTCTGTGGTCATGTGACACACTCCAGGTCCCGGGTTTCCTATCGTCTAGACTTCAGAGTGTTAGGGTCTTTCTATGGGTTTCCACATCACTACCTGGGTGTGGTGGACACTTCCTATTGGCTGTCCAGAAACGGGGTCCTCTCAGCTGATGACTATAGCAGGGTGTGTGATTCTTCCTGAAGAGGCAACATGCCGTGGGGGGTGGGACATCTTGGTGGGTGCTTAGTATTAGATGGGTGAGTGTTAGGGCCTTTCTATGGGTGACCTGGGTGACACGGACACTTCCTGTTTGCTGTCCAAAAACGGGGTCCTCTCAGGTCCTGATGACTATAGCGGGGTGATGATTCATCCAGTGGGCTAGAAGAGGTGCAGTGTGTGTGTGTGTGTGCGTGTGTGTGCGTGTGTGTGTGTGTGGGGGGGGGGTTATGGATTTGGTATGGGATGGGTGGAGAACAAAATTTGCCATAAATAGTCTTTAACTTTCTTCTAACCTGTTATATGAATAATTGAAAGAATCTCCTAAATGTCTTTTTCTTTCCTCCAGGCTTTGCCTTACGTTGCTCTCTTGATTGCGATGATATTTTTTATCTACGCCGTCATCGGCATGCAGGTGAGTCAGTCAGTGCCGTGGCCCGCTTCAGATCTTTCCATTCACGGTTCTCAGTGTGATCCGAGCTCACATCTCCTGCCTCGGCTTTGTTCTCTCGCGTACAGACGTTCGGCAAAATCGCCATGCAGGACGGAACTCAGATCAACCGGAATAACAACTTTCAAACCTTCCCCCAGGCTGTGCTGCTGCTATTCAGGTACCTGTCCTTCTTCCCTCGCTCTACATTGAGCTCGGCTTGTGCAAAGCAGGACTGAATGTAGAGAGGGCAACTTCCCCACGAGGACACCGCCGCCGCCCCTCTGCGCCCTGCCGCCCCGAGGCCGGGCCTCGGTATCCTTGTGGGGAATCCGGGCCTGGTCACAGCATACTAGGAGCCGAGTAAAACGCACAGTACATATGACACGGTAACAGAGGGAGGGTAGGAGGCCACTAGGAAAATCTAAGTCTCAGAGCCTCGTCTTTCCTAGGTGTGCCACGGGGGAGGCCTGGCAAGAGATCATGTTGGCCAGCTTGCCCGGCAAGAGATGCGACAGCGAATCTGACTTCGCCCCAGAGGAAGAGTTCACCTGCGGGAGCAACTTCGCCATCGTGTATTTCATCAGCTTTTTCATGCTTTGCGCCTTTCTGGTGAGTAGAATAGGGAAAGGTCACCGCTTAGAATGTTACCTTCAAAATAGCTGTGAATTATTCAGTGGTCGTATTTGATCTTTTTCCTGTTTCAGATTATTAACTTGTTTGTGGCCGTCATTATGGATAACTTCGATTATCTGACAAGGGATTGGTCTATTCTGGGCCCCCATCATTTGGATGAATTCAAAAGGATCTGGTCCGAATATGACCCCGAGGCCAAGTGAGTATATAACAAGGCAAAAAAACATTGTATCTGCTCTCTTCCAGCATTGTATCTGCTCTCTTCCAGCATTGTATCTGCTCTCTTCCAGCATTGTATCTGCTCTCTTCCAGCATTGTATCTGCTCTCTTCCAGCATTGTATCTGCTCTCTTCCAGCATTGTATCTGCTCTCTTCCAGCATTGTATCTGCTCTCTTCCTACAGAAAAGGAAAAAGAGTTTTTAAATACTAAAAAAGGGTCTAAAAAGGAAGGGAGACAACAAGTATTCAAAAAATCAAGCACTCAATATATCCCAAACAGTTCAAATCCCAATTTTTTAACGCCACTTAGCTACCAGGCACTTTGTTCCCAAGCCCTGTGTGAGCCCTCAATATACATTTAGATGCTGCTATGGGGAGGGCACAGCCCGAGGGTCAGGGCACAGTCAAACATTATACTTCTCTGAACAAGTCTGCTTTTAACTCCCTTCTCCTCTAACATGCTTTCTCTACCTATCCTTCTCATTATTGTATCCTCTATCCTGAAACTTTGCTTCACCCCTCTTCCCCCTCCCCCACGGCATATACATATCACACTCACTCCTGCACCCTTTTGGATAAGCCAGTCCCCTCTCTATAAAAGGTGGTTCCCAGCAGTCATATTGAAAATGTATTTAAGCTCTGATAAAAAGCAGACAATTTATAAATTCAGTGTAAAATATTGCACTCACAAAACTAGTAGCAAATCAGCAAGTAAACAATCCATTCTTGTAGTCCAGAAGTCACCGTCCATGGACATTAAAGACAATGTTCTGGTTCGTGCCAATGGTAAGTTCGATTTTTAAATTTAGTTGTTCAAGGTTCGTCGAAAGGTCTGGTATGAATTTTTAGGGGGACTCTGTTTTTTTTGCATTGGGTTCCTCCTCAAAATGTACAGCAGACCCTCATCAAGGATAAGGGTCTGGAATTGATTTAGGGGGACCACACATCAGTTTTTTATCTTGTGCAACAAAATATATACTAGGCTCTTAACCAGGTGGCTAGAAAAGGAGGGGGGAGCTGCGAGCAACCTTCTCCCCCAACCTGAAGTATACTGGGTCACACGTTCTAAAGAACAAAAAAAATGGCATAGTGTTCCCCTCGGACTCCATACGAGACCTTGTCAGGGATAAGGGTCTGACATTGATTTTGTGTGTGCACGTGTGCTTTTTTTTTTTTTACGTGAAGTCCCCTTCAACACTCATACCAGACCCTTACTCAAGAATGCTGCCTGGGTGGCCTCAAAAGGGGGGCAGTGATTGTGCAACTGCTCCCTCTACTCCTGAACCATACAAGGCAACATCCAGTGAAGAAAAAAACAGTGTGTGGGTCCCCTTCACATCCATACCAGACACTTATCTGAGCATGTAGCCCCACCCTCCTGAACCATACCAGGTCACGTGCCTTCAACACGGGGAAAGTACCTCTTCCCCACATCCCTGGCCTGGTTGATGTGGGGGTCTAGCCCCTGAATGAGTATGGGATACATAGTACCCCTAGTTAAAATATATATCAGAGCCTCATTAGACCCTCAAGGATTTTGGGGGTCACACCATTTTATTCTTTTTTTGCATGAGATCCCCCTTAAAATCAGTGCTGACTATGGAATATTCCTGCAATCTCTCTGGAGCTCAGATCAGACACATTTCCAAATACCAAGCCTTGTTGTTTCTGCACAGGAAAGTGAGGGACGGGATGAGATATGGCTTAGTGGGTGGCCAAGCACTCATTTTAGTTTGCCCATTCACTGAACACGAAACAGGGAAACTTTAGACAAAGAGTTGCACAATGGCATGTGTTTTTTCAAGGATCAAGCATATTTTCAACAAACAGCAAGTTAATTTTAAATCAAACCCTCACTGACCTCTGTACCTGCAGACACTGTGGAACAATTAATCCTTCAAGTACATAGCAGAGACACTAAAGCCGAGTCTTGGAATTAAAGTCTAGTTCATTTCTCAGTATTTGTAGCTTCCCCAGGTCTCTCTAAGAGTTGTTTTAAAGTATATATATATATATATATACACAACATTAAATATCTGTACACACATCTTGATGATGAAGGTTATATACTGCATCGTGAATATCATGTGATGATCATTGTGTCCATTCATTCACTGAGAGTTTGTGAGGTACATGTCTTCTGGAAGGGAACTTTGGGTAGGAAGAAAACAGCAACAAAATGTTTCCTTACATTTTTTTAATACCAATACCATGTCATCATTTTACAAATGTGGTATAAAATAGTCCATTTTAGATTTATAAAATTGAATAGATTAACAGGCAATATAAATGTATAAGGTTAAAAAGAAAAATAATGTACAATATAACCTCAAAAACATTCCATTTAATATTTCCACATGAAGGTCTATGGTAAAAGTCGCATAGTGCAACTTAATTTAATTTTCTGAAATATCAATTTTTGTATTTCCTTTTTATATACAAGAGACAGGATATATATATACTGTACAAAAATATAACAAGCTCTTTGGGAAAAGTTGAAAAGGCATAATAAGAGCAACATAACAATAGGGTATATATATAATTAAAACATGAAAATCAAAGAAATGTGGAATAAACAAATTATAAAATCAGGGAATAATAAAAAAATATATTATAAGGAATAATGTTTTGTAAATCAATTTGTAAGGCAATTAGTTCACGTATATTTCTTAGAGGCAAAAAGAACAATAACAGCGTTCTCGGATGGGGGAGGCTAACTGACAAACATGTGCGCAGCCCTGGAAACAGGAGGAGAACCTGTGGATACAGATTGACAAAGGAACACGGTGGACGCAACAGCAAACACAACAATAAAGCACTAGCTAGTTGGACTGCAATATATATAAAGAACAGGGGATCAATGTGAAGGTAAAGAATCACTGGCAAAAAAATCAATGTGATATCACTTACATGTGGATCCAGGGATCAGAAGATGGACGGCCTGTGCGGAGGATCAGGACCCTCGTGGTGTCTGTCTTGGTCGACGAGTGTCCCACGAGGGTCCCGATCCTCCACACACGCAGCTGGGCGGATCCCGTCATCTACGTCCGGCTGCGGCGTCTCAGTATACCGCGAGCTGTAGCTCGCGGTATACTGAGCTTAGGGTAACGGGAGGACGCTAGTTTGTGTCCTCCCGTTACCCTAAGGAGAACTATGGGGAAAAACACTGACCCCATAGTTCTCCTTTAAGTTTGCAAAACCTCAATTTAAAGAGTTTAAATATCACTTTCACTTTAAAAGATTTTACCTTAACATTTTTTTATAAATGCTGGCAAGCAGTAGATATAGGCAAAAAGTTTTTTGTTTTTTTTTTAAATGCTTTAACAGCGGTTTAAACTTACCTAGTTATCGCTGCCCGCTCCCGCGCCGAGAATCCGGAACTGCTCGTGCGGCCGCAAAGGATCTTGGGGCGGGCACATGCGCAGTTCAGATTCTCGGCCGGGAGACGAGCAGAGACGCAAGGTAAGTCTATGGACGCGTGCACCCGCATGCAGACACCGCTGGATCGGAAGTGCCTGCAAGCAGAGAGGAGTCAGCGCTGGATCGGAGAGCTGCCGCACCGATGGAGGGAAAGATGAAAACATCAGGAAAGAAGAAGATCGTATTAAGAGACATCATTTAAGGTAAGTGCTAACATTAACATGGGGGGAGGGAAAACATTTTTTGACTTTAATGTCACTTTAATATTATATTATATCACGTTCACTGAGAGTACGGATCTGGCACCATGTTTATTTCACAAGGTATTTTTAGTCTTAGGGGATTCATGGTAGTACTATGAAAGAGCTTCCCTACCATTTATTAAGGTATACCTAACTTGATGAACATCTGAATACTGTTTGGATGTTATCTTGAGCTTTTTGGGAAAACATAAGCAAAACACCAGCCAATACACCTCATAAGGCTAGTTTAATAAGTTAATGCAAAAAGCAGTGATGTGCAGTCACTTACAGTATAATAACTTATTAGTGCCCACCTTTTGTCAGTTTAGAAAGACTATTTTGGGTAGGTTGCTGTATTTTTCATTTTGTTTTAAGCAAGTGCCATTATGTGCGAAATGCATATGATTTTCTGATTATTGAACTGCTGTCTTTTGTTCTCCACATAATGCCACACTTTCTTCTTTTAATTCTACATACTGACCTTGGGAAATGGACTAATAAATTAGGCCTTTTCTGAATTTGATAATCTCATTAATGATGAAACATTCAAATGAGCACTCATGGTAACCTATGATAAAGTATTATAACAATACAAGTGTGGGTTGTTACTTAAACTCACAAGGCTGTAGGATACCCTTGCTTCTGGGCAATGTTAAAACCTGTGGATAGATATTTATATTAATTCTGTGGATGTGATGTATAACTGAATGTAGTTAATTGAACTTGACACACTATTAATGGAAATTGCATATTATGGCGCTGTAATGCTTCTGCTTCATTTAGTTCTCTGAACAGAAAAAAGCAGTCAGTGAAAATATGGGTGTACGTGTGTGCATGTGTTTCACATCATTATTTTTTTTCTTATCCACTTATAGACACCTGGAGGGGTAATATTGTGATTTCTACCTCCAGGACTTGTTTCATACTTCCTGCCTTCTAGGCTGACTGTCTTGTCTCTCCATTCTTACCCCAGCAGATGAACTAGCCTTAATATCACACTAACAAGATCACATTTCTTAGCCACATGAGACACACACTATACTGGGATTGAGAGGCTTAAATAAATCATTTGCCAAATCTGTGTTGGTACTGCCTAGAAAAGTGAGCAAACAGTCACCTAACTCTTTAAGCATTTGGTTCTAAGTGTATAGACCCAGAGTGGGCAAATTGTAACTGCACAGTATACTATTCAACAAACAAATATAAACACACTTTTCATGCAGATACAGCAACAATGAAGAGTAACCCAGTTTGCTCAGTCAGTATTGTTTTATACACATGAATGGGTTCCTGACATTCAGCAACGTGATATGTAGGTGGTGTGCTGCCCCTGGGGGCCACAGTCACAACCCAACTATTAAGATAAAACAACACTCATAATGACTGATTTTGTAAAGGAATATTTAATAATCCTTTTGAAGAGAATCTGTGTTCATATCAAACAACCAATCATGTGCAGGCAAATAAAAAAAAATTAAAATTGGAACTTTACAGCATCTACATGTTTGAATATTTGGAGTAAACACAGGTTGAATTAACCAACAATGATCAAAAAGAATCTTTAATAAAGCAGGAACCCATCCATGTGATTAACTGGAAGATTTTCTCAGTTTAAATTGGAGAACCACAATCAAATTAAAACTGACTATATAAAATTATACTTTTTTTTCAGTTTTTTTGGTTTACGGGATCAGCTACATTGCATATTGCTAGCTAACAATATAAAAAAAAATCATATTATAAATACCTATTAACTATGTAGTATATTTGTACCTATGGATATTAAAGTGAAATGCCAGCCAACATCTGTTTTTTTTTTTTTTTTTTAGTTTTGGCTTAAAGGAGAATGTAAAATCATAGTAACAAAATACTAATATGCACATTGGCCAAAATGACCATATGTATATACAGTATATTGACACTATTACCATATGCATAGGTACACTTCATTAAAGTGTGAAATATAATTGCATTTAAGTATATGAAACCTGCAAACACTTTTATTTAATATTCTTCTTACAACAATAAACAACAAATTAAATTGTTTACAATAACGATTGACTTATCCTGACTACAAATCATATCTATATGCTAAGGCTAGAACTGTAAGATAAAATTAATGAGTTCATGAAAAAGAGTAAAAGTAGTAGTATAGCTAGCTAGTCATATTGAATGCAACTACAAGACCATGGCTAAGTTAAAGTGACACTTAACTCAGGAGGTAAATCTTAAGAATGTATTCAAGTACCTTAACTATTAACAAAAATGTATCTTATTTGTGTATCACTCGGCTGTAGATCCTCAAATCATCTCTGAACTGGTGCTGACACTGTCCTTCCTTCTGGAGGGTGGCTACTTTTATTCCCCACGGTCGCTGTGTGTGTTGTAAAATAGCCACCGCTCCTAACTCACTCCCATGATGGACTACAATCTCATGTTTATTTAGCTCATTTGTATTGAATTTATAGTCTATCACAGGAGTGAGCTTGGAGCAGTGGCTTCTTTACAACACACACAGGGACCATGGGATCTACAGCCGAGTGATAGAAATAAAGCTAAATTTTTGCTAATAGTTAAGGAACATCAATGCATTTTTGAGATTTGATAGTTTATTGTCGCTTTAAGAGAGGTATAAGTCCCCATTCACAATCCGCAATGCATAAGTGTTCGTGTGCAGCTCTGCCCAGCTGTCATTTGCTTTGGCTGATCTTTCTCCACGCTTCAGCTGTCACTTCGGTTCAATCGACCCGAAGCATATGCCTTGGGCTCGTCTGAGCCGCTCAGCTGTCTTTGCCTGCTGTACAGGCTATTGTGAATAGCCTGTACAGCTGCCCTTCGGTTCAACTGAGGCGGCCGAAGAGAGCCGAAGGATCAGCCGAAGCTACGGCTGTATCCTTCGGCTCCATAGTGAATAACCCCCTTAGTATTTACTGAAACTCAAACTGTTATGATTAATTTATATAATATTTTAGTATGTAAGCTACCATACCACATATTCCAGGCTGTATTAGAGACAGTCACCTTAGACTTTAACCTCAGAACTATGTCACTGAAGAAAGAGTCACATGAAATTTAAGAAAACACAAAGTCCTATAAGTTTTTATACCATATTCCTCCACACATTAAATCATTTGAGAATATATTCATCTTACTGATCTTTCTAAAAGGTTAAGCAAATTTTGGAGCTACAAAATGGCTCCAGTGTGTGATGAGCATAATAAATAAATTACCGCCTGATAGAATTGGTGGGGACGATTTCTACACATTTTTGTTATATTTAAACAACCTGAATACGAAGCAGCAGTCTCCTGTTGGCCTGTTCTAATTTTTTCTGTCTGTGTTCTAATTCTCTGCCTCTTTGTTGTTCTTTTTGCAGCCATTTGATGTATTCCACTGAAGCCTTTAAAATAGTTCCTTTGTTCCAGCGCATATCACTGTAAAATGGAGAAATAACCTTTTCACAACTGTGCACATCAGCAGAATTTCTAAGAACTTACAAAATCTTTTACATTAACCTGAAATAATGATTTACATGACCATTATTCACTGTTAGATATTATTGCCTCTGAATGGAAATTTTAATAGAATAGTTAAGAAGTCCTTATATAGTAAAATTGATCCTGGAATGAAAATATGTGTCAAAAGAAACTAATAGAGAGACTTTTTTTGTGAGAAGGCTAAATGTATTATCATGATTCCACCATTACAGTTTTTAAATTTTAAGTGAAAATTGCTTTTATTATTAACTCTCAGATTAAAATCTATGTTCAGTACTTATACATTAATGGAGAAGAAAATGTACATTGCCAAGGACTTCAGATTACAGTTTAAAGATCATTTCAAGAATAATATTCTTTATATGTGGCTCTTTTCATGAAGAGGAGATGGTTCCTTTGTTGAGAGTAAAATAAACTAAGTTATGAATAGTGATTGTTATTTAAATTGCTGCATTATATGAAATTATATTCTTTAAGAAGCAAAAAACCTGTCTATTTTATTTTTCACAAGGGATTACCAAACCTATTTGGTTGTGTTTTAATTATATCTGTAAAATCCAAGAAGAATCTAGTATAAATATATATCATATCTGTTTCAATAAAAAGAAAGCAAAAACTGGAGCGTGTGCATCTTTTTTCCCGCTATTCCCTGAGACAAAAAAAAATATATATATATAGCAAATATATTTCTTATTAAACACAAAGCTTAATTAGACATTATTTATGCTTTTGTCATTAGGATTGCCACGATCAGACAGGAAATATTGGGGAACCAGACAGCCATGTTTTAGATTTAATAGGAATCATGCAAATTTGAATAAGGTTGTTATATGCAGCAGATTTCAGCTCATTGTGATTGGTAATTCATTCTTTCATTCTGTTTTTCTTTTCTTTACAGCTTTTATCCACCATTCATGCCAGCCATGTTAGGTATACAGTTGTCATCTCTATAGTAACAAGGTTATGATTGACAGGGCCAACCCCTTACTATATTATTGCTTGTATGTATGTCCTTAGGTAGGTTTTTCAAGAGGAAGATAAAAACAAGTGCCCGAAAAAATAGTATCAGTTTTCAGGAAAGGGGTACATATTGGATCCTGGAGGCCCCCCCCCCATGTAAGCAGTTTAAAAGCACTTCTATTAAAAACACTATATTTCAACAATTAAAGGGAATATATAGTGGTTTTGTATGTAATTTATTGAGTTCAGGAATTACAAAAATAATAAAACAAAAAGTAAATGGTAAAAATACATACTTTGAGTCAGGTAAATATGCAATATTATATATGAATATTGTTTAGTCCCCTATCAAGCCAGCAGGTGGAGTGCTAGTCTCCTTTTATTGCTCTCTCTCACCATCATTTGTTAAAAAGCCTGTTGTTTACAAAAATCAATCTATCAATGTAAAAAATACACACAGAAACAAATGAATCAGAGCAATGTGATCAGATGACTTTTTAATGAGAGACTGCTTTAATTTCATGTGCAACATTGAAAGGCTTAAATAAAACAGAACTTGGCAGTCACTCAAGGTGTTTAGACTATGTAAATAAAGGAGCTTATTAAGGTAAGAAATATAATCTTAAATCCACAAAATGAGTGGCAAGAAGAAAGGTTTACCCAACAATATAGTCATTCCACTCAAAGGTGAAAGGAAATTAAAAGTACTGAAGGAAATTAAGTCTGAATATTTTATCCAATCAATGCTCATTAAAGATCATTTGCACCCCATCCAAGTGTTAGCAGCATCTTAAAACTATGGTGATAGTACACCTGAACCCTTCCAAAATAACTAAAGCTGTGCTCAAACACACTTTTAAGTCTGCAGAATGGAATAGGTAACCTTAAATTACCTAGTTTGCCATACAATCTACTGCTCATTATCTATTGTCTTATGCAAAATGGTAAGGTTAGGTAAATATCATGGAAAGTGGATTTCAAGATTTATTGAATCACTGATCAGTTTTACATGTTTTAGTTAAACATGTAATTTACTGGACATAGAGTCATTTTGATTAGCATAGGAAATGTATTTACACAAGCAGGAATCTACCAAGTTTCTTCTACTAGTTAAATAATGCATAGCTGTGTGTTACTTTAACCACTTTAGGGCCGCCATATGTATATGTACATTGTGATAGTTTGGGGAAAATTTAGCACATACGGAGACCACTTTTTAAGCCATTTTACATAAAACAGGACAGTCTTTATTCATACACAGGCTGGCAACCATTATATTTCTTCATATAGAAATATGTTTTTTCTTCAGCAAAACGGAACTTAACAGTCCCCTTGACTTTCATCAAAGCAACATATTTTCATGTCTTACTGACATCAGGTTATCAATTACACTCCCAGTGTCCCAATCCTAAGACTTTCTCCACAGATACAGTCCTCAGTATCACTCAGTAGTTTTCCTCAACTCCAAGCGCCTCACTACGCACCTATGTGTCTCTGGCAACTCCACATCTCTCGTGTGTCACTGACTCTCGGTCTAGCCAACAGGTCCCTCGGGTGCCAATGATCCCCTTCACCTCTCCCAGCTTCTCCTGCTTGCTCCATATGTGCTTCCAGCACACCAGCATCTGTTTGCGTCCGAGTGCCACCTGTACACCCGCAACTCCTCTCAGCTCTGGTCCAGACTCCTAATAAGGCTGCTTTCAGTAACCTAATCATCCTGGCCTAAGGACTGGAGATTTCACCCCACCCACAACTCTTAAAATCTCTCCAGAGTTCCAGATCCCAGCTACACTCTGGAAAACCTGCAAGAAACTGAAAAGCCAGCTTCTTTTATGCAAAACTATTCACATCCGTGATCCTCTCAGCACCTCTGGCTCAGAGTCCAGGGTCTCAAAAATACAACATAGCATTGCCTGGAGTTGCTACAACACCCTGGTCCTAAAGTGGGTAAGACCAAGGTCATGGCTGCTGCTGTATTTGTCTGATGTCACCTGAATTTTACATACAAGTGATCTGGTTGGCTGTAAAGACACATGATCACTTATATGCTGTTGAAAGTGTGCCGCTCCCCACTTGATAGAACCCCTTATCTGATGGCAATAAAGTGTAAAAAAGTCAACAAAGTGATATAAAAAATGTTTTTTAAAGCCCTCTACTCCAACATACGTGCACATACATTGGTAAACATGGGTTGGGTGCACCTACATACAAAAACAACATTTGTACCATATGTTATATATCACCACAATAAGTGGCTGGAAAGAGAGCAATAACTGTAAGACTATGGGGTTGATTTACTAACCTTATAAACACACCACGAACATGTATACACCTCTGTAGAGTGTTCCCTCCCAGCATGATCTATGGGTGGAATCTAAACACCTTTGTAGTGTGTACACACCCAGCAGGTGTGTTGTGCAAAGCCAAGCATGAATTGCAAGGTGATGTTGTGTAAATTAGCTCTATGTTGTGTTGCTTGCGTTGATAAATGCAGGAATGTAAAATGCACGACTAACCATTTTTGTCTAAACTGTGAAGCAGCATTATATATGCATCATGTGCATGATTTTTCCATATATGGCATTAGTGGAAACATGCTTTTAGAGACTTTTTGGTTGATAAATACGTGTTGATGTGTGAAAATCACACGCACCTGGTGCGTGCATGTGTTTAGGTTAGTAAATCACCCCCTATCACTCACTGTAAACTCTAAATTGATGAGCAGTAAAGGCTTTTAAAACATTGCCTATGGGCAATTTTGAGAACTGTAGTCTTTTGCCATTTCACAGATAAGCACAATTTTAATATTGACATGTTTGGAATCTATTTACCCAATGCAGCCTCATATTTTATATTGTACCAAAAAGTTTGGTATTATATTTTTTTATGTGCACTAAAATTCAATTTAGTTTAATGTTTTCCTAAAAATATTTATTTGATAAACATTTGCACAAATATCATAAAAAACTGCAACTAGTATTTGTTTTCTGCAGAGCCTCTGCTTTTAGAAAATATATAATTGATTAGGATTTTAAACAGTTTCCTAGCCAAAAATTCAGATTTTGGTGTGTGCAAAAAATTCAAAATTGTCCTGGTCCTAAAGTGGTTAATGGGTGCAGCCCAGTACCAACTACAGAGTCAAAGTGTGCCGCTCCCCACTTGATAGAACCCCTTATCTGATGGCAATAAAGTGTAAAAAAAAGTCAACAAAGTGATATAAAAAATGTTTTTTAAAGCCCTCTACTCCAACATACGTGCACATACATTGGTAAACATGGGTTGGGTGCACCTACATACAAAAACAACATTTGTACCATATGTTATATATCACCACAATAAGTGGCTGGAAAGAGAGCAATAACTGTAAGACTATGGGGTTGATTTACTAACCTTATAAACACACCACGAACATGTATACACCTCTGTAGTGTGTTCCCTCCCAGCATGATCTATTGGTGGAATCTAAACACCTTTGTAGTGTGTACACACCCAGCAGGTGTGTTGTGCAAAGCCAAGCATGAATTGCAAGGTGATGTTGTGTAAATTAGCTCTATGTTGTGTTGCTTGCGTTGATGAATGCAGGAATGTAAATGCATGAGCTAACCATTTTTGTCTAAACTGTGAAGCAGCATTATATATGCATCATGTGCATGATTTTTCCATATATGGCATCACCCTGGTCCTAAAGTGGGTAAGACCAAGGTCATGGCTGCTGCTGTATTTGTCTGATGTCACCTGAATTTTACATACAAGTGATCTGGTTGGCTGTAAAGACACATGATCACTTATATGCTGTTGAAAGTGTGCCGCTCCCCACTTGATAGAACCCCTTATCTGATGGCAATAAAGTGTAAAAAAGTCAACAAAGTGATATAAAAAATGTTTTTTAAAGCCCTCTACTCCAACATACGTGCACATACATTGGTAAACATGGGTTGGGTGCACCTACATACAAAAACAACATTTGTACCATATGTTATATATCACCACAATAAGTGGCTGGAAAGAGAGCAATAACTGTAAGACTATGGGGTTGATTTACTAACCTTATAAACACACCACGAACATGTATACACCTCTGTAGTGTGTTCCCTCCCAGCATGATCTATGGGTGGAATCTAAACACCTTTGTAGTGTGTACACACCCAGCAGGTGTGTTGTGCAAAGCCAAGCATGAATTGCAAGGTGATGTTGTGTAAATTAGCTCTATGTTGTGTTGCTTGCGTTGATAAATGCAGGAATGTAAAATGCACGAGCTAACCATTTTTGTCTAAACTGTGAAGCAGCATTATATATGAATCATGTGCATGATTTTTCCATATATGGCATTAGTGGAAACATGCTTTTAGAGACTTTTTGGTTGATAAATACGTGTTGATGTGTGAAAATCACACGCACCTGGTGCGTGCATGTGTTTAGGTTAGTAAATCACCCCCTATCACTCACTGTAAACTCTAAATTGATGAGCAGTAAAGGCTTTTAAAACATTGCCTATGGGCAATTTTGAGAACTGTAGTCTTTTGCCATTTCACAGATAAGCACAATTTTAATATTGACATGTTTGGAATCTATTTACCCAATGCAGCCTCATATTTTATATTGTACCAAAAAGTTTGGTATTATATTTTTTTATGTGCACTAAAATTCAATTTAGTTTAATGTTTTCCTAAAAATATTTATTTGATAAACATTTGCACAAATATCATAAAAAACTGCAACTAGTATTTGTTTTCTGCAGAGCCTCTGCTTTTAGAAAATATATAATTGATTAGGATTTTAAACAGTTTCCTAGCCAAAAATTCAGATTTTGGTGTGTGCAAAAAATTCAAAATTGTCCTGGTCCTAAAGTGGTTAATGGGTGCAGCCCAGTACCAACTACAGAGTCAAAGTGTGCCGCTCCCCACTTGATAGAACCCCTTATCTGATGGCAATAAAGTGTAAAAAAAAGTCAACAAAGTGATATAAAAAATGTTTTTTAAAGCCCTCTACTCCAACATACGTGCACATACATTGGTAAACATGGGTTGGGTGCACCTACATACAAAAACAACATTTGTACCATATGTTATATATCACCACAATAAGTGGCTGGAAAGAGAGCAATAACTGTAAGACTATGGGGTTGATTTACTAACCTTATAAACACACCACGAACATGTATACACCTCTGTAGTGTGTTCCCTCCCAGCATGATCTATTGGTGGAATCTAAACACCTTTGTAGTGTGTACACACCCAGCAGGTGTGTTGTGCAAAGCCAAGCATGAATTGCAAGGTGATGTTGTGTAAATTAGCTCTATGTTGTGTTGCTTGCGTTGATGAATGCAGGAATGTAAATGCATGAGCTAACCATTTTTGTCTAAACTGTGAAGCAGCATTATATATGCATCATGTGCATGATTTTTCCATATATGGCAAAAGACTTTTTGGTTGATAAATACGTGTTGGTGTGTGAAAATCACACGCACCTGGTGCGTGCATGTGTTTAGGTTGGTAAATCACCCCCTATTCTCAGGTGTGAACAGGGGGTATAGAAATTAATGGGATTCCTTGCTTTGAGTATTTCAGTGTGGAAAAATACACGTGACAAAAGCCTTGGTGTGAACGAGGCCTAAAACATAAACAATTCCAAAAGGTAAATACTGTTTTATAGGCATTGTAGATATCTGGGGAAAAAGCAACACCGGAAAATACATAATGAGATGTATGGTGAAAACAATGGGGTCTATTCACTAAGCTGCCGTAGGCAGCCGAGTGAAAGACCGACCTGAAGTGAAGTGAGCCGAACGCTGTTCGGCTATTCACTTCCGGCTGGTACGGCTGATTTCAGCCGTATATCGGCTGAAATCAGCCGTACATCGGGTGGCTTCG